TTTGAAAATTATTTGTAAAGGACTTATTTTAATCATAAGTAAAGCCTAGAAACGATCCTTTGAAAACGTATCAGAACATAGAACAGTTTTAAGAACAAAAAGAACTCCAGGGAAGGATGGAGAAACATAAGCAATATAAAATCAAATGAGCAAATTGAGTAATACATCCTTTTAATCTAAACATTTAAAGATAGCTAGATTTTAAAATAAAGTTTAACCAGGCTTTTGAAAGCATAAATACTATTCCTTTAAACACTGGTCTGAGTAGAAAAGTAACTGAGCTTATTGACTTATTTATTTTTCTTAATGTTGTACTCATATGTGACTTGGATATCCAAAATCTAACTACAACTGTATTCACATCTTCAAGATAATTTAAATCTTTTATGTAGATAAATCTTGCTTACTTATCTTAATAAACTATAATCCTCATCACAAAGGAAAGCAATGAGTTGCAATTAGTGTGGGAGAACATAACAAATGGGTCAAATGTAGTATCAAGGCACTGAAAAGTGGGAAAATTTATTTTATAATTCTAGATACATAAATCAAATATTTTAAATATAAATCTCAGCACTTCATATTTTCTTAAATATTACTTAAAGCAGCTAAAATACTTTTTTTTTTAAATGCACTATTATATTCGCCAGTTTTATTTCAAGAGAACAGAAAAAGCATGATGTCTGCAGGGTTATTATTCAAAATAGCCATACATATTATCACATACCAATCTGAATTTTGGGGGATATTGAATAATCAATGACACCTCAGTTTTAATTAATTAGTACAGCAACTAAAATGCCCTGGAGAAGTTTCGACAGTTCCAGAAACTTTACCTTTCACTTCTCCATTCTCTTCTCCTTCTCTTGGCCCTCTCCCTCAAGAAGTTTAAAATGTCAGCTGACAGCCAGATGATGTGGGGCCCTAGCCTATGTGTACAAAAGTGTAGTTTTAATAACAAACATAACTAAAGGAAAAACCCTAATCTTCTTTCATATCCTGAGGCAAAATTCAAATTCCTCTTTGTACCTATTATTTTTCTTTTCTATAGCAAAGCAATATTGTTGCTATGTTATCCCTCCTTGCAGATCTCATTAGAATTATATTTACCACACCTTTTTTGGCTGATCAGAAAAAGATCAAATCTCTATCTTTACACATCTATCTTTCTTCAGTTAGAATTTAAGAAAAACTTTATGCTTTTGATGACAAGACCTCTCCTGGGCATACAACTCAGAATGGACCAGCACACTCCCATGGAGCAAACAAAGAAAAATTACATTCCCAATCTAAAATTTTTCTCACTAATGATGCATAAAAATACAATCTACTTGTTTCTAGCAAATATTCCTAAGAAGCTTACTTTCACAGGTTGGACTGTCAGAAGTTATTATCAACAGTTCATGATGTAATTTAAGAAAATATGGAGTTCCTTCACCCCAAACCATGAATTATCACTGTGTTTATCTTTTAGAACCTAAAAAAAATCTGCAGAGATCTAACCAAAAAACACTATACTTTGGAAATTCTCTCAACCTCTCTCCTCCTAACCATCATAGCAAATGAACCAATGTTCTCTCTGGTTTACTGATGACCACAAATACACTGAGGTCTCATGTTCTCACCTAAACTTGTTCATATTGGTTGTGCTTGTTACTGAATTTAGCTGTACATTTTTATTATAAGTTATAGAATACAACTGAATTTTGTATAAACTAATGAAATATGAGTGCAAAAAAAAAAGCTGGTAGACACGCATCAGTAAGAGAGACTAATGCAGAAAAAACACATATGTGCAGGGACTGCTGGCTTAGATAAATCATTTAATAACACCTTTAGGTCTAAAGTTTTCCACCTGGAATAAAAAGAAATTAAGTTAGAAAACCTGAAAGGATCCTTCAAGTTTTGATTCTTAAATAAAATTTTAATAAATTCCACCCCAAAATGTCTTGTTCTGAGAAATTATAAAGGTAGATTGGATTTTTTCATGTATTCAAGATTTATCAAATGCCTACCATGGTCACTATTACAGGACAATTTTTAAGACACTCTAAAGAAACAATGTGATTAAAAGTACAAAAACACCCTGTAAGATTAAAGTGTTACCTCAAGTAGATTTTAATATAAATGTGGAAGAGAAATGCCGGCAGTAATACAATGCACGGATATCTTTCTATATGAATGACCATGAAAATTAGAAGTTCTCTATTTTCCATTAACTATCATCTCTCCAAAACAGATTATTTTTAATAATCAAAATCATGCTTTCAAATGTGTCATTATAAACAAAACCTCTACAGAACCCTTTTTAAGTCTTCCTGATAGGGTTAGTACTAATTTTTATAAACCAGATTTCTAAAAACTGACTCTACATAAAGAATTACTGAAATTCAGCTGAGGGGGGGGAAGAGTATGCCTGTCTTTACAATTTCAATTTCACTTCTGCTCATAACCCTATTTATAATTCAGTTACATCCACAAGACTTCACAAGTAGTTGCTAAGCAACAGAACATGCTGAGTTCAGAGCCATTGAAATCTGGCTCTCTGCCACATGAAAATATTTAACAGAGCCTAGAGCCTCCAGAATTTACAAAATGAAGAAGAAAAGGAAAGAAAAGAAAAAGAAAAATCCCAAAGAGATAGAATAATAAATAGAGTAAGTTGCCAAACTCTTTTAAAAGATTCACATATTCAGATCAAGGACTTCATTTTGGTATTTCCAAATATTTATTGTATCTCTCTCTAAAATATTTTATGTCATCTTTTTAATGTTGAAATTAAGACTCTTAAGTTATTCTTGTGGGGAAGAGAGGAAATATGATTAGTCGTATCACTGTTAAAAGTATAACAACTGACTTAAAAAATATATTGTGCAAAGAATAGTCCTTGAAGAGACTACAACAACAGTCTGTGGGACATGACTGAGACTTTCTGTGTTGGGTTTTTAAGGCCAGGAGACAAGAAACTATACATTTTCTTCAAATTCCTTTATCCTCATATGCCTGGTCAACTACTGAAAGAAGAGATAACTTTTTTTTTTACCCAAAGCTGCATTGTTTTAAATTAAGGACGTCTAATAATTAAAAAATTAAGCATATCTAGAAATTTATTCACAACTCAAAATGGTTACAAAAATTAACTCATTTTTCAACAGATATTGAAAAGGCATTGAATATGTTTCAACACTCATTCATTGATAAAAATAAAAATTAAGAACATAAAGATTGCTCCTTATGCCGGTAAAGGCTACTTCAAACCAAGGGAAAACTTTATATTTAGTAGTAAAACACCACAGCTAGGGGCGCCTGGGTGTCTCAGTCGTTACACATCTGCCTTCGGCTCAGGTCACGATCCCCGGGTCCTGGGATCGAGCCCCACATCGGGCTCCTTGCTCCATGGGGAGCCTGCTTCTCCCTCTCCCACTCCCCCTACTTGTGTTCCTGCTCTCACTATCTCTCTCTCTGTCAAATAAATAAATAAAATCTTTAAAAAAAAGCTATTTCCATTCAAGGCAAAAATAAAAAGTGTGATAGTATACTCAATATTGTTCTAGAAAGCCTACTAAAGCAGTAAGAGCTCAGAGTAAGAAGATACAATGAAGAAAACATTTATTTCAGAATAGCAAGAAAAAGATATCTAGAAACATTAACATATATGAAAAAATTGTTATAAAAATATGTGAAATATTAGAGCTATGTTGGACATAAGGCTTGATGTAGAAAAATATCAATTCTTCCTGGATGAAACTTATTAGAAGTAATTCCAAACTAAATGTCACCTAGTTATTTTTATATCATAACAAACTTTTAAAATTAATCTGTAAAAAAAATGGCAAAACAGTAAGAAAATTGAAAGTCAAAAGTAAGAAAAAAAATGATGCTTGCCCTCTCAGATGTGAGAGAATGACAAAGCAGTAATTATCTTAAGTATTAAGAGATGAGTGCAATAAATTATCTAGAAGACAGAAAAAGCAATACAATATCTGACAGAAACAGCATCGCAAATTAACAGGGATTAAGTGGACTTTGAAATAAATGGCTGAAAATGGATCAAAATAGCAGTTGAACATACCAGTACAATAGCAAACAGATTAGATATGAAATAAAAATTTTCAAAGGTGCAGAAAGCACTACAAGTAACCACAAATTTTGAGAAATACTTGAGGGACACCTGGATGGCTCAGTCGGTTAAGCATCTGCCTTCGGCTCAGGTCATGATCCCAGGGTCCTAGGATCAAGTCCCACATCAGGCTCCTTGCTCAGTGAGGAGTCTGCTTCTCCCTCTTCCTCTGCCTGCCACTCTGCCTACTTGTGCTCTCTATCTCTGTCAAATAAATAAATAAATAAATAAATAATAAAAAAAAACCTTGAAAACTAAAAAACATAGTGATATGGAATTAGTATCCAGAATAAAAAAGAACACCTATTAGTGAATAGAAAGGATAAACAATTCAAAATAAAAATTAAAAATCATAAATAGGGCATCATAAAACAACAAATATAAGATGTTCAACTTCACTAATAATCACAGAAAAACTAAAGAAAAAGAAGATACATTTTTACATATCTGACTGGCAACTATTTATAGTTAGCAATAATATATAGCAGTGAGTAGTTTCATACACAGATGGAAAAGACATCATTGTCATAACCATTTTTAAAGACAAATAGGCAAAAACTGTGCACCATTTTGACACACCAAAGACATTCTGAGATATCTTAAGATATACTAACATATTGGGGCACCTGGGTGGCTCAGTCAGTTAAGCATCCAACTCTGATTTTAGCTCAGGTCATGACCTCAGGGTTGTGAGATCAAGCTCCTCATTAGGCTCTGCACTGGGTGTGGAGCATGCTTAAAATTCTCTCTCTCCCTCTCCCTCTGCCACTACCCCATTCTCTAAAAAATAAAAATAAAAAGTTTTTTTTAAAAAAAGATACACTAACATTTTTTTAAAAGGAACATATCAGGATTCCTACTGCTGCACCAAAATAGCAAAAACACAAATTGTTTTTGTTTGGTTTGTGGACAAAGACTTAGACAAGTGGGAAAAATAAATCCTTTTTTGTAATCCAGAACTCACTGTTCAAGTATGAGTTTTGGATACAGATAAGAAGGAATATGATACCTAAAAAAAGATTAAAGTGATGAGAACATTCATAAACATGAAGGTTGGCTCCAGGACTACAGAATTACTAAAAACACAGGATATAAGGGAAATCTCAGCTATATTGAATTAGTGTTCTAATTTTAATGTTGACTTGAAACAAAGATGTCTTCTTTCTTTAGGCTTTTCAATTGAGAACACAATGTCTGGACTTAAAAGTATTGGCATATCCCAACAATCTGTACAACTCTAGGGTGTGATAATTTAGGGGTGAATAGGATTTGAACTTATTCATGTTCAAGGGTGTCTGAAATCGAGAACCACGCAGATCCTAAACATGGCTTAAAGAAACTGGATCCAAAAAATTACAAGTGGGGAATTTTTGAAGTATGTCCATATTCAAGGGGAAATCAAAGAAGCCCAACCAAAAACAAAACAAAACAAAACAAAACTGTGGACTGACTGACAGTGACAACTGTGGATTGAACAAAAGTCCTTCTTAAAAAGGCTATTTTGAAGATTATGATTCTGACTTCGGAGGAACTAGGGTGATTGACAGTGGTAGGAGTCACATGTGAAATTCCTTAAATAACAATTTGTTGACCTTAAATTAAAAAACTACAAAGAAATATAACACCCATCACTAAGAAAATAGCTTTTAAAAAATACTGTGAAGAATCCTCACTAAAGAACACTAAAAAGTTAAGAATGTAGTAGGTTTCTTTCATGGGCATGAATATAAAGTGTACAACAAAGGAGCTGCAGAATTCTTAACACTTTAACACAAAAGCTGAAGCCAGACATACCTTTTTGAATACTGGTACTATCATTTCCTAGCTAAGTTACCTGTTCAGTAATATATTCTTCGCCTCAGTATCCTCAACTATGAAACTAAAATTCTAACAATGCCTCTCCTCATAAAAATGTTAAAGGGGTTAAATGGGATAATAAAATAGAAAGTACTTAGATGCCTAAGTAGTCAATAAATTCTTTCCAGATTTTATATCACTGTATTAAAACACACACACACAAATAATATATTTCTAAACATTAATATAGGCACACAAGTGGTATTTTAAAGTCTGGAAGGATAAATGCCTAACTAGACAAAGGAATATAAATACCAAGTCTCACTTAGATGTGCCAGTTTGAATTTTCACAGTGAAGACACAGTCATGTAATTTGTATCTGAAATTCATTCCACTTTCCCCAATCTCTTCCATGCTAATAATAAGCCAGAGCAGCAATGACATTTGTAAATGTAATTAGTTGACCCACCCAGACACTAAACTCCAGAAGAGACAGAGAAGGGAAGTTACAATCCAAAAGCTAAATTGCCAGCATTTCCCATGAGCAGCAAGTACAAGTATCACTTCCCACCCCCTCACAATCATTTCAGTCAGCATCAACCCAGAGTAAAACAGGAAATCTCGAATACAAAAATGAGTATAATCACAAATAGATGCCAAGCCCCTCAAACAAAAGAACTACTTAGTAAAATGAACAGAAAACATTTTAAAATAGTATATTAAATATTCTGAAAAAAGCATTGTACCCACAAGAATAAGCAGATATGAAAAGAAATAAATCTGAAACCTTAGAAATTCAAAACAAGAGCTGCATGGACACAGCTGAAGTAAGACATAGGTAATCAAGACCAGATGTCCTCTCAAAATATTACACAAAGGAAAAACAGAAAAGCTAATTGATGGGGAACATACACAGAAGCAACAACTTTCACTGAAGATGAGTTTTAGAAAAAAGAACTAAGAAGAAAAAAAAAGAAAAGAAACAATTCACAGAGTTAAAATTAAATATATATATATATATGTTTTCCATAGAACACGCCCACTAATTATACCAAAACAGACTAAATTAAAACAAGAAAAAAAAAAAAAAACCCTAACACCTAGACATATTGTGTTAAGACTTCAGGAAACCAGTGTGAGGAAATATTAATAACTTAGAGTAAAAAATCACTTAACTACAAAGGAATAAGAATTAAACTGACATCAGACTTGTCATCAGCAATACTGAATGCTAAAACAAACAACAATATCCTCAAAGTTCGGAGAAAAGTTATTTTTAGCCTAGAATTCTATTGCCAGAAAAACTAGCAATCAACAGGATGAAAAAATAAAGATATTATTTCTGAGCAAAGACTGAGGAAATGGACCCTTGCTAAAACAATTACATAAAAATACAGTACAGATTCAATACATCAAAAGACTCTAAGAAATGGGGGAGGAATTCAAATTAGGGAACTCAGATAATGCTCCGAAAGGAAACATCAATGCTCCAAAAAACAAGTAGAACTCATGGGCTGGCTGTTGAGGATCCATCATCTTTAAAATAAATAGTCTGGAATTAAAATCTCAGATAATTATATGATGGGAGATAGCCAACTTAGGGGCTGTGAAATGTGGGGCAAAAATAAAGAAAACTGTCAGTCTAAAAATAACTTATCAGGTTTCAAACTGGGTAAAGTGACAAAAATATCAGATATGCATTATAAACAAGAGACACACCTTGTAACAAAATAGCATAGAAAGGTTAAAAAATTTAAAGGATAGAAAATGATACACTAGGGACACCTGGGTGGCTCAGTCGGTTAAGCGACTGCCTTCAGCTCGGGTCCTGATCTCAGGGTCCTGGGATCAAGTCCCGCATCGGGCTCCCTGCTCAGCGGAGAGTCTGCTTCTCCCTCTCCCTCCACTGTTCCCCTTGCTTGTGCTCTCTCTCGTCAAATGAATAAAATCTTTAAAAAAAATGATACAGTAAGCAAATGTTAACCAAAAAAGGGTAAGTAATGTATATTAAAAAAAATTCAAATTGAAGATCAAGTTACTGGACAAAAAAACATATTTCCTATAGATAAAATTATAACACTTCAAATCACATAAAACAAAACAGGTTTAAAAATTTCAGGAAGAAACTAAAAAATCCACAAGAGATAAACATACCTCGTTATAAAATCTACAGATGAAGAAAGTGAAAGTAATATAAACAATGCATGTATTTCTTAATAGAAAAATAGAACTGTATATCCAACAAACCGAGAATATGCATTTTTCATGAACACATCCAACATACATTAATACTGACCACATATGTGGTGACAAGGAAATAAATTCAAAGACAAAAAAACAAAAACAAAAAAAATCACACAAAACCACATCCTCTGGCCATAGATAACAAAGTTAGATGAGCAACAATAAAATAAGAGGAAAAGGATTGCCTTATAAATTAAAAAAATATGTATTTTGAATTAAGGAGGAAATCAATGGTGAAATAATAACTGAGGAAAAGTGATAGCCTTAAGCTGCACATATTAATAAAAAAAAACCCCACAAACTCAAAAATGCTAGTAAAGGAGGAAAAGTATAAACCCAAAGCAAGGAATTATAATAAAAGAAAAAATTATGAGGGAAAACTCAATAAAACAGCAAGCAACAATAAAACCAATAGCCAGTTCTTTGGGGAAAAAAAAAACTATTAAAAAGTGGGAAATACATCAAGGAAAACTGAAAAAAAAAGCATAATAAACAATATTAGAAATAATAAAGACGTAACTACAAATATAAAGCAATACACTTGGTTCAAATATTCAAGTATATTTAAGGTTACCAATGGTATGTGTGAAAAATACTGAGGGATTTGAACTTATTGCAAACTCAGTAAAATTCAACAGTGCTAGGTGCCTGCCAGAAATGTCAACACAAAGTGAAGCTGCAGAACAGCAGCACAGAGTCTAAGGAAAGGGAGACGTTTTTTAGTATTACATTTAGTTCTGAGTGGCCCAGATAAAGAGGGACTCTTAAAGAAACAGTAGGACAAACAGGATGACCACGCTAAAGAATGACCTAGAACAACATGTTATATGAGGAATAGTTGGGGAAAATGGAGGATATTTAGCTTAGAAAACACGGGAATTTTAATGGCTTTCTTTAGGTAGTGCAGATCTCTTAGGTGTGTAAAACAGATACAGATAGAAAAACAGGCAGGCAGACAGACGAGTACAGAAACAAAAACAATGAAAGGCCAATTTCTCCTAAAAATCAACAAATACTGATTTGTTCAGCTATCCAACAAAAGAAGGAATTAATTGCCTTATGAAATTAGAGACTCTCTGTCATTAGAAATGTTGAAGCAGAAACTATAGATAATTATCTGTCAGGAATAATAAACAGAAGGCTCCTGTAGAAAGTGTGATGTTACAACTACTTGACCACCTAGGTCTATCCCACTTTCAAGATTTTGTTATTTGACATTGCTTGCTAATAAATTTTGTTGCCTAAGAGGAACACAAAATCTGAAAACTCAAAATTTATCCCTCAGATTTTTGGATCATTCATACTCAAACAGTCTCAAAAACTACACATCTTTATCCTCAAGACATTTATCTTTGTCTTACATGATTCCCTTTAGGTTTATTTGTGTCTATACAAAAACTCCTCTGTGCAACTTTCTCTCCTCTTGCTTTGCTATGACCCCCATTTGAATATTGAATGCTATTTTGGTCTAACTCCTTTCCTCTTTACCTATTAATAAAACCCCCTCAGTATGTCTCAACTATCTTCCCGATCTAACATTCTCCCTAACAATTATTGGTCTAGATAAGTGTGAAAACTTCCCAATTGTTTTAGATATGTGTGTTCTCCACACTAAGAGAAGCATGCCCTTCTCCCAATCCAACCTTTAGTAAATTAATAAAAATTGGTATCTTTCTAGTACCAACATTTCTCTAATCCTAGTGAAGTTGCTTACTCAAATGAAACATCCACAAACATATAAATTTTTATACTTCAACAAAACATATATTAGAACAATAATTTTCAAAAGCCTAAGCAACATTTTCAAAAGGCAAGAGCAAACAGTTTGTACCCTGAAACATGAGTGTGACTTCTATCATGCTCAATCTAGCTGGCCTCTAGCTTTTAAGTACCCAACCATGTAGTAATAAATGACCAATGGCCTTTCAGAGTCTAGAGAACTGAAAGTCCCATCTAAAACTAAC